TATCATTGTTATAGAGGCTCTTAATAGGTGGTCGAGGAGGGCTGTGGACTTGAGGCTCATTAGGGGCTTCAGGTTGGGGAGAGATTTGGATCATCAGCTCGAAATCTCCCACATGCTTTTTACGGATGATACTTTGGTGTTTTGTGATGTAGATGTGTCGCAGATGAGATATCTAAGGTGTGTTTTGGTGTGCTTTCAGGTCGTTTCTGGCCTAAAAGTAAATGTGGGGAAGAGCACCTTAGTCTCGGTGGGGGAGGTGTAGGACATTTCCAATCTTACAGTGGTTCTAGGGTGCGGGGTCTCGTCTTTCCCCATCTCTTACTTGGGATTGCCCTTGGGTTCACTGTCAACAAGGGTGGGGGTTTTGGGATCCTGTGATTGACAGATTTGAGAAGAGGCTTGTCGGTTGGAAGAAATAATATCTATCCAAAGGGGGGAAGGTCACTCTCATGAAAAGTACATTGTCAAGTCTTCCTACATATTTTCTTTCTCTCTTTTTCATATTCCGGTCTCAGTGGCCGAAATGATAGAGAAGCTTCAGCAGAATTTCCTTTGGGGTGGTTTAGGGGATGAGTTTAATTATCATCTTGTTCGGTGGGAGCAGGTATGCATGCCTTTTTAGTTGGGTGGTTTGGGTATCAGAAGGGTGGTCGCGTTTAATAAGGCTCTTTTAGGGAAGTGGTTGTGGAGATTTGGAGGTGAATGCCATCGGTTATGGAGGAGGGTTATATCTTGCCGCTTTAGGGAGGAGAGAGTTGGGTGGTGCTCCCGAGTGGTTAGATTGTCCGCTGGTGTGGGTGTTTGGAAGCTTATTAGGAAGGATGGGATGATTTCTCCAAGCATATTAGATTCAGAGTTCGAGACGGCAGGGATATTTGGCTATGGGAGGATGTATGCTGTGGTGAACGTTCGTCGACTTTTATCGGCTTGATAGCGCGAGGATCACCTAGGATGTGCGTTTTCAGCAACATGTGGGAATTAGATGACATAACCGACTCGTTGGACCTGCTGTATGGACAGATGACTGATGGGGGAGGCCCAGATTCCCTCATTTGGGTCCCCTCTCCCCAGGGGAGATTTGAGGTTCGATCTTTCTTCCGCTACCTTTCGGGTTTCTTAGGGGTTAATTTTCCTTGGAAGACGGTTTGGCGGTCGAAGGCTCCCTTAAAGATGGCTTTTTTTGTTTGGACTGCTGTTTGGGGCAAGATTTTTACCCTTGACAATTTTAGGAGAAGATAGGTAACGGTCAATTGGTGCGATATGTGCAAGAGGGATAAAGAGTCAGTTAATCATCTTTTTTTACATTGTCAGGTGGCCCACGACTGTTGGAGTCTCGTCTTTGGTCTGTTTGGTATGCAGTGGGTTATGCCCAGGTCTATGAGAGGTTTGATTGACTCTTGGAGAGGGTGTGGTATGGGTCCTCACGTTATTCATTTTTAGAGGGCGGTAACACTATGCATTTGGTGGTGCATTTGGAAGGAACGTAATAGTAGATCTTTTGAGGGGGATGAATCTCCCGTAGGAATGCTAAAATACCGTATCATTAGCTGTCTTTTATACTGAGAAGGGAAGAAGAGAAAGGGGGGCCGGGGGGGGGGGGGTTGGGGTTGATGTTGTTCATCTTTGGATGACATGATTGATCTCTTAGGATCCCTGGGTCCTTAATCCCCTAATTTATGTTTTTCTGTATTTCTTTTGTATCCTCAGACACAACAGCAGCAATGGATGCACTCTCTTTTCTTTTTGGACAATACCATTGAATATGCCATTTTCTTCCACACTTGTAACATCTTTTCTTTGACGGTGGCCCTAGGTTTCTTGAAGCTCCAAATCTCTTCTTCTCTTGAGCAATAAGAGCTTGAGCCTGATTATCACAACTCTCTTCATTATTCAACTTTTCATTAGAGAACAAAGCACTCTTAACTTGTTCTACTGAGATGGTATCTCTCCCATAAAGCAAAGTATTGAATAAATGCTTATGGGTAGAGCGCACCGATGTTAACAAAATAATTGCTTTATCCTCATCACTTAAATTGACATTAACATTATATAAATCACAAATAATTTTGTTGAACTCACCAATACGTTCTTGTAGGCTTACTCCTTTTCTCCTAAAGGAATACAACTCTTGCTTCAAGACTAACCGGTTGGTGAGATTCTTTCCCATATATAGATTCTCCAACGTTTTCCACATGTCCGTTGCTGAATCTTCTTTTATCACATCATACACAATATCAGCTGCCAACAGTAATTGAATCATACTTATTGCCTTTGAGTTGATCATCCCCCATGTATCTTCCATCTTTTCCGGTTTATTACCCAAAGCTTCTCCTAACCCTTGCCGAATTAGTAAATCCCGTATCCGAACTTGCCAAAGACTGAAGTTTATTCTTCCATCAAACTTCTCGATCACGTACTTTCCATCTGTAATAGTTGCCGCTATGGCTTTGATACCACTTGTTAGGATCGTACACACACTATTGGCAAATAAAATAGATAAAAGCACACACAAGTCACAAGCAAAACGAGATTTACGTGGTTTGGCAAATTGCCTACGTCCACGAGCGAAGAATGACTATTTTTTCTTCAAAACTTGATTACACACTCTTTCTCTTTTCACAAACTCAACTCACCTTTTTTTCTCTTTACAATTATTTCTCTCTCTCCAAACCCATCTCTATTTATAGTCTTCAAAACTCAATTTCTTGTTAAACAAGAATTATACCACTTGTCTACAAGGAGTTACCAAATCAATCTCAACTCTAAAATAGAAACCTAATGAAACAATTTCTTTCACAAATTTCAGTCTTCCAAAACATAAAAGGAAACTAATTTCAGCAATTTTGAGCCACAAACCCAACAAGCATTACTGCCGAGCAAACCGGCAGTTCAAACAAGTCATAAATAACACCGAGAAACCCTTAGCAACATTTTAGATGCTAAGGGAATACCCCAAAATAGGGGTCCGAACCTAGGAAGAGAAATTAGGCTCTGATACCATGTTGTAAAGCATAAAACGGAAGCGAAGAGATAAATAAAACAAGTAGAACACACATATATTGCGTGGTTCAACCACTATGGTCTGCATCTACGACACAGAGAGAGCCCAAAGGACTACATGACCTTTATAATACTCTATCAATTCATACACAATACAATGGTGGAGGCTCCTTTTATAGGAGAAGAAATTATGAGAATGGAAAGAATTAGAAAATAGGAAACGAGGATTTTTCTTCACTGATTCTTCTAGTAACACCAAATTTTTAATAATAGGAAACAACATCAACTACTGAAGATTTTCCTCCACTGATTCCTCCATTAAATCTTCAATAAGGTTATTTTCAAAAGGTTTGGCTATATGGGGATGTTGTTTTGGGGGAGTGGCTTAACTCAATATGGAGTTTCTGAGGTTCTTTTCAAAAGGTTTGGCTATATGGGGATGTTATTTTGGGGGAGTGGCTAGAAGCTTGAGCTTGAGGGGCATACAAATTGTGTATCTAGGTTCTTTTGACAGGCTTAGATTAGCCTGCTTGAGTATGAAACTTATCTGGCTAATTTTAATCAAAATATCAAGCTAATGACTCAAATATTTTCAGGCTTATCTTTGTAAGCCAACTTTAAACTACATATCAAGGCCTGATCTCATCTAAGCCCTTCCAAGCTTTTATCTAACGCTCCACATGCTACCACATCATCATAGGGATTTTTTATTTTTTGGATCAATGAAATGCACATCATCACAGAGTTTGTGGTCTTCACAGATGGCATTTTAGGAGGGGGAAAAAAATGAGTTTTTGAACCATTGGATAAAGGCTCGCATGAATTTGAGGTGATTCTTAACTCAAGGAAAGCTTGCTATAAAAGGTTGGGATCATAATCGACATTTTAATTTTTAACTAGGAATTGCAACAGGCAAGTTTTTGGGGTGGGGGTCCCTTTCCCCATCCCGTCCCCGTTTAATATAGCATCTCCATCACTATTTCATTAGTGTTGAATAAATTTAGGTTTTTTGGCTAAATAATGTAAAACAGCCAAACGTAATATTTTTTTTTGGGTAAAAATGATTTTATTTTATACCAAACTAATCTGTACAAGTGGAGGTCTGAAGTTCATTGTTCTTTTGAAATTTCATTTACATCCAAGATCAATATAGAGTGAGGGTGCGAGTGAAAGCAGAAGTCTTCTAACTGTCACATGGCTACAAGGTCTGTGGTGATTTTTTAGTAGAAGCATGGGAAAAACTGGATTTGAAGGGAAGTTGAAGCCTGCAGGTTTAAGTCATATTCCGCTCTGATTTGTCCAATTTTTTTTATTAGTGGTGAACCTGCCCCTCCTTTGATGGATTGGATCCTCGAACCACACCACAATAAATCTTAATTCTTCAGAAGTGAAATTCTTTGTAGTAACTCTCAGCTATTAATTGAGCCAAACATCCTAAGTAGACGTGTTGTGCCTATTTTTGATGATGTTCGTATATTTAATATCATTTCAACATTTGTGGTGGTAGGCAGTTTTTCTCATGGCTGTTGCCTGGACAACCTTATGCCCTTCTGTATCTCTCATTATAGAACATCCATAGTTCAATGATCAGTCATCAGAATAAGTTACCTGGGCTTATAGAGTATCTCTCATTATCTAGATAGGCAGATATTGTTTGCCAGCTTCATGCTTGTTAAGAGCCTCCGATAATTTTAGAAGAGAGAAGACAGTATAGAACATCCATTGGATATTTATAAACATGCTTACTTGATTTAGCCAAAACCAAACAAAATGGATCTTTATGTGTACCTGTATGAATTATATTCCATCTACTTTTTGATTGTTTTGGTATTTCTTTATATAGATAAATTTATTACAGTGTTCTGTGAGACCTAGTTTATGTTCTTTTGCTTTTGGACTTGACTTCACCAAGCAAGGACTGCATGACTTTAACGTTTATGTTTTCTCTGCTGCATAGTATCTCCTTCTCATTATTTTGGTCTTGGCAATACTTTTGGCAGGACACTTTTCTTCCTCGAAACCCATCTTGGAATTCTGTTTTGTACTCGGAGGAGGGTCACAAATCTAATATATGAAGCTTCGACAGTGTCATGCCGTTACGCCTATTGACATGTTGGATATATATTTGTAATAAGCGTTGTGTTTTTCTTGCACTGACGTCTTTACACGGTCATGCTTGTAATCTTAAATGGAGAATGCCCTTGTTGTTCTTGTTGTGAAATAGTTTGTTTTGTAAACATATATCTGTGTTTTCAGCTCAGTTAGTTTGCAAATAATAGTTCTTTAAGAGTCCCTCCACCTCCACCTCCACCTCCACCCACACCCACACCCCAAATAGGAAAGATGAAAGATAAAACAGTAAGGTATATAAAACCATACAAAGATACATATTCTCCGTTTGTTTCCAAGTAAAATATTTTCCTCAAAACAAAATATACACATATATATATTTAGGTAAAAATATTTATTATTATTTTTTTTTTTATTTTTCGGTGTTTGACAAAGGTTTAGGCAATGAGAAGATTTAAGATAACATGTCAAATAGCTCAATCCACGAGCTAGGAACCCACGCCATTCGTTTGATAAGAACTAGCACCCAAACAACCATGGAGCAACCGAACTCTCCGCAAACTCAGGTCATAGCCCACTCAATAATCTTGTGACGACTCTGGATTTTTCAACCTAGTGTGTTCTGTGATGACCCGAACTGGATCCAAGATGCGGAAGCTAGAAACAAGACAATGGTCTCCCAAGGCACAACACACCTCTAAGATCCTAAGATGACCTTCCATGAGGTCACAGAACCCAAAGGAATAAGTGCGGAAGCAAGAGATGACAGGATAACAATTAAGCCCCTAGGGGCAAAATGGTCATTTCACAGAGAAATGGATGCTACCAAGCATACCATTGGAAAGACAATAAAAAATTAATGAATTTAGACTCAAGAATCACCTAATTCGGAGTTCGGATGGCAAAGATATCAAGTCCCGAAGTCGAAGGAAGGGAAACCCTATCCCGGTTCGAACCAAATTTTGACACTACTTTACTAAAATATGAATAACTTGAGTTATAAATGGAATATGAAGCTCTAATTGGTACCATTGGAAAGCTCATTTCGTTAGACTCAAGAACAGACCAATTCGGAGTTAAAACGAGTGAGATATGGTCCGTTAAAGAAGAGTGTCTAGTGTAGGAACAGTATCCGCGGGCGCCCGCCAAGGACCCGCGGGCGCCCTCCCAAATGGGCAGAACCGTGGGAAATGGTGCGGAGCAGCCCTGTGCATGGCGGGTGCCAGCCCAAATGGGCAGAAGCAACCCAAGACAGCAAGAACAGTGTTTTAGTAGAAATTTGAGTTTGCGATGCGGTTTTCGAGACCAAGATGACATTTTTCGGAAAAGCACAAAGAAGAAACTCCCCCTAAAATCACATTTTTTATGTGACAGAGTCAAGAACGGAATTTATTTCCCAAAAGAAATGCCCAAAATGCCCTTAAGCTAGAATTTTCAACAAATAGGTGAAATGAATCCGTAGGAGGCTCGAAACACAAACGATGAGGTTTTGCCCGGAAACGACCATGCACGCAAACGTAACTTACCTATTTAGACGCGCTACAATGGTCCATGACTTAAAAATACCACCGATGCAAAATCCGACCCCCCAACGGGCAAAAAGGCAAAAATGGAACTTGGAATGAAAACTCGGAATCCAAAAATACAAAACGGGATCAAATGATCGTTTAGCCCTTGGTCACACTTCATACAAGATTAATAAGACCCTATAAAAGAATGAAAATGGAATTCCCACACTGATGCAACCATGGTGAAGCAATGACTTGCGATTTTTTCAAGGTTTTCATAACATTTCATGAAGTTAAAAAGTTACATAGAACACAATATACATGTCATTGGCCTCCGGCCTCATTTCATACATATCAATTACATTGAAAGGAGTGTATTTAAGTACACATTACATACATGGAATCAAATATACATATTTTGACATATAAGTCTACAAAATGACATTTCATGCTAACATTTGCATGAAATGGAAATTTGAAAGCTACACGACATCCAAGGAATGCTAGGCTTCACGAACCAAGTCTTCGTACCTGAAATATGCCCCAGTATCGTAGGGGTGAGTAACATAAAGCTACTCGTAGGAGATGAGCATGCATCGACCTAGCATTTTACAAATTTATCACCTTAAGGTGAAACATGTTAAAGGGGCTCATGCCACCTAACGTCTATGTCCAAATGAGACTCAGGGAGCATCTTAAGTTACCTTAGAGTGTTTCTAGCATAAATCACATCATTCATGCATTTCAACAACATAGAAACATGTTATACAAAGCAACAAGAATCATGATATATGTATATACATGAAACAAGTCAAAGTTGGGATAATCCAAGAACACGATAAGAAGGATGCATGAATATAGATCAACATAGATTGCATTATCAATACAATTAAGCAAGATTGGAACACCCCATTTAACAAGACAAGGAATATACATGAAATCAAGGGTAATGCATAATATCTATGCTAATGACAAGGTTAGAGCATTCTAATTTACACGATAGGAGTCATATAAGATATCAAGAACAGTGCATAATATCTATGCGATTAACAAGGTTTGTGCATTTCATAAAACACGTCAAGGAGTAACATATGGAATCAAGGATAAGGCATACTATCTATACACGTAAACAAGGATGGAATATTCCATATAACACGACAATAAGTATACTTGGATATAAGTTAACAAGAGTTACATTATCAATGCAATTTACATGATTGGACTACACCAATTAACATGACAAGAAGTATACTTGAAATCACGAATGAAGCATAAAATCTATGCAATGAAACAAGATTGGTGCATTTCACATATCACGACAAAGACAAGGTGTGAAATCAACCAATGTAGAAACTTGGATATCGCCCGGATTAAAACCGTACTCTTGAGATCACTTTAGGGCTACTAACCTATGGGTACCTTTCCCCTAGTGCGCACTATAATTGTAGGAGGACATTCCCCCGTACTAGAACCAAGATCAACAAGTTGTGCAAGTCAAGATTGTATCAAATACAAGAAATGCATTAACCACGTTTCACGCACAACCAAGATTTTGGAACATACAAGTCATGCCCTAAGTACTCAACTATGATGGCATGTGAAATGTCAAGAAATCATAGTGTGCAACTATATAGACAACAACCATGATATATAGTGCTTGGAACTCATTGAAGAAAATATACCACAAGTATAAGATACATGATTCAATTATCTTCTAAGCAACACATGTGTAATTAAACCATTTCAAGACAAGTACATATTCATTAAATACGTTAATGAAACCTAGATATAAGGGGTTATGATTATATCAATGGGAGCATAAAAAGGGAACTTAATCTACTCAAGGGATCAAGTTATCAAGATTTCAAGGTAAGTTCAAGTGTTCTACAACAAGGCATGTCAAGGATCATGTCAAGGCCAAGTTCAATGTCAAGTTACAAGTTCATTTCATACAAGATGCAACCATGTGAATTAAGTTCCATACAAAGGAATTAATTAAATATAAGTTTCAAAACTTATCCGATTATTCTTGATTTGGTGTACGTGAAAGAACTCGTCAAGGAAATCATGAATACAAGGTTAGAAACTTAATCTAGCTCATGGAACCATTGAATGGATTTTAATTAATTCATTTAATTAAAATCTTTAGATTTTAAAAGTCATCTAAGTGACTTCAATTTAATGTATGTTATACAACATGTCAAGACTTGTTTCAAAAACACAATACAAGTGAATTACGTGCAAGATACGACCATGAGTATTAAACTTTAATACTAGAAAAATAATAATTGAAAGGTTTTAAAATCTAATCAAATATTCTAGATTTAATATATGTGAAACTACATGGCATGTATATCAAGTCAAAAATCGAATGGAGTGAATAGTACACTCAGGGTAAATTAATTAATTAATTAATTAAATATTCTCTAGATTTTTAAACAACTCCGATTACTCCCAATTTAATCTATGTGGATGAGCATGTTAGGGCCTAATATAATATGCTAACACATATTGATTTCAAGCTAATTAAGGCCATGTGAATTAATCTTTCACTTAAGATAAATATTAAATAAAAGTTTTAATACTTGTTCAAATGTTCCCATTTTTATACACGACAATGAGCATATCATGGAGTAATATAATATCATGCTACATGTTTAAACCAAGTCACGAGCAACCGGGAAAATTAGATCCCGTACAAGAAAAATAAATAATAAAATCTCTAGATTTTTTATTTAAGCATGTAATCATATTGTACAAGCATCAATATCATGCTATATAACAAGAATTAAACCTAGAACATCCCCTACCTCGATTTGAGATGAAAACCTCAAAGGCCCACCGAAATAAAAGTGCTCCGAATTCAACGATACCGAGAGGTTTTGTCGGGGACAACACCGTGAACAAGAATCCGCAAGAAGCCCCATGAAAAGCCAAACTTGACTCTTAACCCAAACTCAAGAAATGGTAGGAAATGAATTTTAATAAGGGGGAATGGTAGAGCATGTCGAGGGAAGCGATAAACGTAAAGGCCGAAGGGATTTCACTTAGGAAATCAAGTGGAGGAGAAGGTCAAAAGGTGGCAGCCAAGGAGCTTCCATGGCTGCCGGCCAAGAGGTGGAGAAAAAGAGTGAAAATCTGATTTTTCACTTTAGGGCATCCTATTTGTAGTTAGTCTCAAAAACTGCCTCGAAAGGGCCCCGCCGGGTCTGAAAAAGTGAATTTTGAGCAGACGCGCTCAAACGGCAAAAATCTATGAACAAAAAAGATTCAAAATGATAAAATATAAATAACGGAAGAAACGGCGTCAAAAACTGAGTCCCGAGCAGAAAGTTATGCCCCAAACAAGTTCGGCGGCAACCGGGTCCAGAAACTTTGAAACTGGAGAAAAATGACCAGAACGGAATTCTAAGAGTCCACAACTCAACAAAATGTGAAAATGAATCCCATACGAGGATCCAGGCTCCAGACGAGACATTTTGCAATAACTTTCGTTAATTGCACAATGGCCCCTACAAAAATGGTTAACTGGGAAACTGCCCCCGAATGAAAATATCTTCCAAAAGATATTTTCTTAGATGCCCCTGAAATAAAATATCTTTAAAAGATATTTACAAAAACACCCCAAGAATTGAAAAAGATTCTAAAGAATTGTGCATCCAT